GTGAACAGCAGACGCCTCTCAAGATTGTCAATCTCCCTCAAAGTTGCAATTTGCTTCTCGAGATCTCCAATCTGAGCTTCCAGAAAAGCCACTCGCACACAAATGTCACAGAGGTATGGACCCTGGATGGATACATCCAGGCATGCATACATGCAACAAGATGTGCATTGATTCAAACCACCAATCTTGCTAACACTGCTTTCCCCAGATACAGAATAATAAAACAATTACCTTGTTAGTTTAAACACCTTGTTAGTTTTGACTCCTGGTTTTCTAACTCCTACTTGAAAGAGTCTATTTGATAGAGTTTGCTTTCAAGTAATGTGGGCAAGCTCACTAAGTTAGGGGTGTGCCTTTATGGGGATACAAATCCCACACAGGTGAACACTCCCCCAATCAATCAAGCAGCAGCACAAAGAGGGGGAAAAACCACAACACAGAATTTTTTTTTATAAAAGTTACCAATAGAACAGATTTAACAAAAATAAAATACAAACCACTCTCCACAGTATACAAACCACTCAAAGCAACTCCTGGTTTTCCATTAGTACTTCTGTTCCTCTACCCGGTCTGGCATAAAGTATTAACTGAGAGAACAGAACTGCTTCCTGTCAGACTGGGAGAGGGACAGAAGCTGTTCCACTGCAGTCTGCCTGCTTTGCCCTGCTACACATGAGTTAAGGGGAGTGACATGAAAAGACTGGGGAGGGGGGAAATGTGACACATGGAGGGGGGAATGAGACACATGGAGAAGGGAGTATGGGACACATGGAGGGGCAGGGCGGGGAATGAGACACATGGAGGGGCTAGGGGTAATGGTACATATGGAGGGTGGAGAATGGGACACATGGAGGGGCAAGGGGGGAAATTAGACACATCACCATGGGCTGGAGGGATGGGACACATGGAGGAGGGATAGAATGGGACACATGGAGGGGTTGGTAGAGAATGGGATACATGGGGGGGGGGAGAAGGAACACATGGAGGGGGGAGAATGGGACATATGGAGGGATTGGGGTGAATGGGAAATTGGACACATGGAGGGGGTATGGGGAAAAGGGACACATGGTGGGAGAAATGGACACATGGAGGGGGGAAATGGGACACATAGATGGACTAAAGGGGAAATGGGACACATGGAGGGGCTAGGACATATGGAGGGGCTGTGGGAGAGGGACACATGGAGAGACTGGGGGTGTAATGGGACACATGGAGAGACTGGGGGTGTAATGGGACACATGGGGGAATGGGACACTTTGTAACGAATTCATCCGCTTATGGTAATGTGTTTAATGGTATTTACCGTCCCGACAGGAATAGTTATGCCCATCTACAGCTGTGCGCCCGGATACCTGATAAACCCAGCATGTCTAGGGACGCCGGCCACTGTGGATCTATGCCACCTTATAGCCCCATGACCACCCACTTTGAGGATGATGTTGGCGTGCACGTGGCGTCACCCGCACGCACATTTTGAACTCAAAGGCTGATTATAGCCAATCGGATTAACAGGAGGGTTATTTAAACTTATTTTTACATTCTCTCATTTCTCTGTCATTGTTTCTGCCTGATGGTAATCCGAAAGTGCGTTCCTGATCTTTATTTTATTTTTTGGGTATTTGACTTTGGCTTCGTTCTGACTTCCCTGATTACTGGTATCCTTGACTTTTGGCTTTTTCTCATCGCTGTGTCTGATTCTCTATCCCTGACCTCGGCAAGTATTCTGACTATACTTGGATACGTTAAGTCTGGCCACTCTAAGGTCCGTTTAGACGTTATCCTTGGTGCTAGGTGTGATACAATTCTACGTGTGGGAACAATTAGTAATGCTGACAACATGGAGGTGCTAGAGGGGAATGGGACATGTGGAAGGGCTGGGGATGATTGAGACACAGGGAGGGGTTGAGGTGGCTGAGGGATGATACAGCTGGAAGGGCTGTGGTGATGAGACACATGGAGGGGCACAAAGAGAAACACAGAGGGGCTGGGGGAGGAAATAGATACACACAGAAGGGCTGGTATACACAAAGACACACATAGGGCCTGGGAACACAAAGAGACGGAGGGGAAAGGGAAAAAGAGACTCACAGGAGGGAGAGTAAGAAACACAAAAAAGGATAGGGGGAGAAACAGACACACAAAGGGGCTGGTGGAAATAAGAGGTCTGCCAGCCGGTCACAGCAGCCAGCCTGCCTGCCTGCCAGATGTCCTGCGAGCTGCAGCAGCCTGCCAGCCAATGCAGCCAGCCAGCAACAGTAATTAAGGTGAGAAGAGCCAACTTGGGCAGGGTATTAGAGAGCTATATTAATTTTCTATATTGTGAATGGGGGTCAGAGTGTTAGAGAGACCCATCTCCAGTGCCCATTAGAAACCTTTGTAGACTAATGGGGTCTTGAGGGGACTCTTTCTAAGATACTGTTGAAATTTATGCAATAAATATTCTTGAAAACAAAGGTTTTTTCAATTTAAACATTTAAGATTGGGGGGGTGGAGGGAGAGGCAAATACAGGATCTGTTGTACAACTATGACACATTTTAATTGTTTGGTCTTTACAAGATATTTCTAGTGCTCATTTCCATCATGTAATAAATTATTCAAACTGTAATCAAATGTCAATTAAATTTCTGCGCCTTGGTTTTCTTATATTCATTTCAATATTTTATCTATTCTTTTATGGTTTTGAGTTTTCCAGGTTTACATTTAAGCATAATAACCACAACAGTGTGCTATACAATACATGGAACTATTCATAGTTTTTTTGGAATATTAGGGATTATAAATATTAAAGGAACTCCCCAGGCTGAAATGGACTGCATATTTATGGATCATGGTGAAAATGCTTTAAAATGGCAAACAGAAAGTAAAAAAAAAAGTATAATCAGTTTTTGGTATGGTCACCAACAGGTTCCTTGTGAAATACCAGTGTAGGTCACATTAGCAATCATTTCACTGTGAGCTGTGTCTCTCCTTTCGAGATGGTTCTTGGAGGTTGTCCTCACAATCATAGAACTTGTATTATGTGCAGGCCAATTCAGTTCAGGTGCTTCTTGGTTGTTAACATAACATTGCAGATTATAAGAAGGAGACCCCTTAACCAATTCCCTAGCATCCGTTTGCTTCCATCTTTGCTTTTCTTTCTTACTGTATAAGATAATTCAGGTACAGTCTGTTTTCTCCAGAGTCTTTCTGATAATGATGTTGATGATTCATTTTCATATATTCCATATCAACTGTGAATGTATCACATCTGTCTGTTCATCCTTCTCCTTCATCTTCTGTTTTCTGTTTTTTTCTTGCCTACTTGCCTACTTTAACAGCATCCATTGTGTCAGTCAGTGGTTCTGTCAGCATCCTGGAAGTATTTAGCATCCTGGGAGTATTTAGCAGGTTTTAAAATATCAAAACTTACTTTTTTTTCTGTTGGCTCTGATAGTTCTCTGTTATAAAAGTTCTTGGAATCAACCTCTCCAGTTCTGATGCTCATGTCCCCATTGAAGGGCACTTTAATTGACACAGGCACTCTGACTGGTCTGTGGAAATGCAGCCCCATACACAGCAAACTGCAATGCGCTGTGTGTTCCCTTTCTGTCATGGCAATCTGAGCTACAGTAGCCTTTCTGCAACATCAAACCAGACAGGCTAGTCTTTGCTCCCCATGTGCATCAATGAGCCTAGCACATGTATGATCCTGATGCCAGTTCACTGGTTGTCCTTCCATGCACCACTTTAGGTAGTTATTAACCTGTACCTAACAGTTACTCCTCTGGAGGAGGATCATAGTGAAACGGATGAGAGCATTTCTCGGTGGAATGCACGTGACTGTCCTTAGTCTGCACTTGAATACCAACTTGCTGATATTTTGCTTTCAAGCCAGCGAGCGCAGATCCATCAAAGGGACTATTACTGTAACAACATCTGACAACAGGATTCCTGCAGCCACATTTCTAGGAGTCTGTAAGTGTTTTTAACCATTACTATTCCAATAAAGGTTTTACAGAGAACTCTGTTTCCTATTTTCTGTCCTATTATGACTCAAGACATTTTTCAACACAAGAGACCACTATATGGTCGGGTATTGTATATTGATGAAGAAGAATTTAGACCTGTTTTCTATTGTTTATTGTAGGTTGTATCATACCAGCTTCAGATTATTTCAGCTCCTGTTACTTAGTAACAGATGTTTGGTATCCTGATTGCTGATACATATTTGCACAAAGACATTGCTCACCACAGTTCTGTAGACTGTTACCACATGAAGTATCAATTGATGTGAACTATCACTTTCATATTTTTCGAGTGACTTACCTAGTAGTATTTTATATATTTTTATTACGATTAAGGCTGTCAAGTTTATTTGTTTTATACGTTCACTGTTTAGTTAACAGTGCCCCCACTTCAACACTGGGGGGAGCACTTTTCTTGGATATTCCTTCATCCATACCAATTCTACATTTAATGGTACTAGCTTTCTCATATGTTATTTCCTGGTACATGTTAGGACCCAGTATCTGCATTTCTTACTTTAAGGTACTAACCTCTGTATACCAGGAACACCCACAAGACTTGCCATTTTGGAGATGCTCTTACCCAGTCACCTAGCCATTACTATTTGGCCATTGTCAAAGTCATTCAGATAATTTCACTTGCCCATTTATCCTGCTTTCAACATGTGAAATTCAAGAACTGACCTTTTACTTGCTGCCTAATATAACCTACCTCTTGACAGGTACTACTGTAAATATATAATCAATGTTATTTACTTCACCTGTCTGTGGATTTAATGTTGTGGCTGATCACTGTATTTTTCTTTCAAAACAGCATATAATCTTTCTATGAATGCATTTACACACAGTGTAGCCTCTAAGCAAATTTCTGTTTTCTATAATATTGTTTTAGTTGTTTTCCATGCTACTTTTCAGAAATTATAATATATTATCAAAGTCCATTAACTAATAACATTGAAGTCAGGATAACTGTATTAATGATACAAAAACACAAGTTCATTATTTGAATGCTTTAATGCATGTAAGTAAAATGCACATTACATTTTATAAAATTTTAGTAAAAATTATGGATTCTTTGAAAAGATCCAATTCTAGGGTTCACGGCACCCCAGTTGGTATATCTTCTATACTCTCCAGGTCTCAGATAATATTGTCGTCCCCTGTAATTTGGCTCCTCATAAAACATCCAGTAGCCATCAAGAACATTACAGGAATGGATGTCATGGTAACGGAATCTGTCATAGACCTGGGGACAATCTTCAGTGAACTCCATCATTTGACCTTTAAAATCTTCCCTTTCGTAGATTCTGATTCTAAATGAGCCATGGTGCTTTAAAGAATAAGAAAAAAAAATCCCATTTACAAAGCAGAAACTCCATTATTACAATTCACCATAAATATTAAAAGGCACCTCAACTTGTAGTCCATATTTATATATTAATGCATATCAAATACAGAAAAATATATTACAATTAAACTTACCTTTAAATAACCACCATTTCCAGAAAATTTGAGATGATGCTATTTTATGATGACATTCAAAGAAATCAATAAATTGTAGGGTTTTCTTTCTCAATCCTGGGCATACTATTGCTATGAATAAGAGTGCTACATGAACCCTTAAGAGTCATACTACAGGATATACACTACCATTCTGTTGGATGTTATAGAGAAACTGCATATGTGTTTTTCAGAAATTTTTATTAAAGGGACACTATAGTCACTAAAACAACTACAGCTTACAGTATTTGTTCTGGTGAGTATAATCATTCGCTTCAGGCTTTTTGCAGTAAACACTGTCTTTTCAGAGAAAATGCAGTGTTTACATTACAGCCTAGTGATAACTCCACTGGCCACTCCTTAGATGGCTGCTAAAGCTGCTTCCTTGGGCAGTGCTGCAGTGTAAGTAGCACTAACATTCAGTGTATCCACCCTCTGCATGGAGAAACTGAACTTCCCTCAAAGAGATGCATTGATTTAATTCATCTCTATGAGGAGATGCTGATTGGCCAGGGCTCTGTTTGACTTGTGCTGGCTCTGCTCTTGATCTGCCACCTTGACAGTCTCAGCCAATCCTATGGGGAAGCATTGTGATTGGTTAAAACCATCACCTCTGATGATGTCAGCAGACAGAGGCAGTTCAGGGGCAGATCCAGAAGCTTCACACTTGAATACAAGTAAGATGTTACTATAGTTAGGTAGGCAAGGGTGACCAGGGGGGCTAGTTGGTGGTTTTAATATGTTTGTGTTCCTGACCCTATAGTGTTCGTTTAAAGGATAAAAATTGGCATATCTATACATCAATAGATGCCTGAATTCTATATTTGAATAGTTTTGTGGCTCTGTGAAAATTCAATAAAAAAATGACAATTACTTTAAGGCTGAACACTTATAGTTGTTACCTGTGGGATAATACGACAGGATTTGATGGAATCATTGAATCCCATCCATTGATTGAAATCAGGGTATTCTCCCCTGCTAAGATAATACTCGTGTCCTCTGTGGTTAGGGTGCTCATAGAGAATCCAGTTTCCATTTTCCACTCTGATTGAGTTGCACCGACGGAAATAAGAGGACAGGTCAGAGCATTCTGAGCTGCACTCATAAGAGCGTCCCTGAAAGTTCCTGTCCTCGTAGAAAATAATCTGGGGAAGAAAAGATATTTTTTAAAATAAAATATGCAACCACATTACAATTGATTTGCTTTGAAGGTCATTTATTGAAAAAAAAAAAAAAACATCATTATTATCTATCTATGGACATTAAATATAATATAACTATAAAAACAACTATATTGAAGATCTAGTCTTCAATATCAATATTTAAAACAGTTTAACATAATAAACATATAACTTCTTCAGTCTTGCCTTTCCCATGTTGCTGTGTTCCGATAGTCTTTGCTGTTAAAGGTGAGGTCAAAGCTGTCCTTATATACATCCTGACCTGGATACCTTGTGACTGAGTAATGCACATTTACTTCTGTCCAGTAAGCAAAAAAGAAAGTGGAGCTATTTTCACCCAATAGAAGAATGTTCTGTATTTATATGTTGCTATTGTGTTGTATTATTGGCTGAACCTTTTCTATTTAAACAGCTAAACTGCACTCTGAAATGTCACCTATTCTTTAATGGTATGAATGAGATCTATAGCTTAGTTGAATAGGTGCTCTATTTCCATTACTAGGACTGTTCTGTCCTAGTAATGGACATAGAGCACCTATTCATTGTTACAGTACTCACAAGGTAAATTTACAAAAATAACTAATGACAAGGAAACATAAAAAAGAGAATAATGTATCCATCAAACTCCACTAACACAAGCACACAGACAGACGTTACTAGTAATATAACAATAGCATAAATGAGACATAATCAACGAAGCAATAAATCTGAAGAAGCAAATTATTGAAGAAGAAGAAAAAAAAAGTGTTTCTTAAGTAATTTGGATGCTAAGATCTACTTAACAATTAGTCTTTGATAACCAATCATTAACAATTTCTGACTTTCCATTGGCATCTCATGACAATTATCAAATTGGTTGCAATACAAATTTTGCAAACTTTTTGTATGCTGGTAATGTGAAAGTCAAAAATCATTATTGTCTTAATATTGGGCCTATCCCACGATTTGATCATTAATCTTGCAATGTTGAGTTAAAAAGGTGAAGGATGATTTAGGGTAAGTGATTTTAAAAAATGGTATGTTAATGGTATTTTTTTTTTATTACAGCACAGATTAAAGGTTACAGGGAGTAAATCTGAGAAAGATAGTATCAAGTGGATACTGGGAACCCCATAAGACACTATACAACCACCATCCACAGAAAGCATCATCGATGTATTTTTGTCATCAACAGGAAAGAGGTCAAATAGTATAGCAAATAGCCCAAGTGCAGAATGCAAGTGAGCAAGAAGGGATAAGAATCTGGTGGAGATCATGAAGACTCCAGAAGCAGTAGTCTTGAGAGGGATTGCATGAGGGTTAGAACACTGAGTGTTAGTATAGAAAGTGAGAGGTGGAGTATAGGGTCAGAATGTGGAGTGGTAGTGTGTTATCACATCCACCTTTATCATCAGTTGTGCCTCTGTCTTTTTAAGAAGCTCTCCAGTGCTGTTCCTGTGAGCTTATCCTGTTTTAGTCAGGAAGCTGAAAGGTATACTCATTGCTCATCTTTGTGAACGAGTTGGTAATTATCTTGAACTGATGCTAGCTTCCATGTGTGATCCTCAAATTAAGAGTGATCAAACAGAGTGACATACTAGAAGGACAGATTTATTAACAAGTTCCACATTTTTAGATTGAACCTATTGTAACTAGGTACTACTATCAGCAGCAGTGGCAGCATAACCATAAAACAGAGGTTAGCATCTGTAGTTTGGGCTTAGGCTCTTGACAGTTTGGATAAAAATGAGAGTAGCTCATCTGAAATATTCAAAGCTTGCCTGTTTGGATGTGCTTTGCCTACTACCAGAGACTCCCTAAGCCCCAGGAATGAGAAGTAGAGTCTGTGGCATGCTTTGTGTCTGTACAGCAGCTGTTATCATCTCCACTGACCTTTGTCCAAAGTGAGTGAGTGTTTTCTGTTACAGGGAACATTCTGAATACCCAACATTTACAAATATCCCTGCAACTGATAGAGCAAATATCCTTCCTTAAGTTCAATTTCCACACATTACCCTGCTCTTCAGTTTAATACTTGAGGTGTCATCATTTGCTATGTGAGATATAATTGGCCACTACCTCTTCCTTCAAAGTTGTTTCAAAAATGTTGAAAGTATTCTAAAATCTGGTGGAAAATCCATAAAAAATGTAATAATTTCAATTTAAGTTAATCCTGTGGCTGCTAAGGCCCTGCCTGACTGAGCTTTTCTGTGTGGCTATGCCTACTACACCTGAAAATGCAGCTGAGAGAAGATGATAGGGTACTGTTTTGTTTTTTTTCACAGGGATGGACAGGAACTTCTTTTTCTGTATTGAGTGGCATGGCCATAGGCAATTGATGACCGACTTAACAAATTCAACTTTCCATTTTTTTGGGGGAAAAAAATTAAGTAACTCCTGCAGCTTGGAAAGCAGTGTTTTTTTCCATACTGAAGGATGGTCACTGGTCCACAGATTGGATGTGTAGGAAAGCTTTGTTCTTGGATGAGTGGGTCGTCAATTCGCACCAGCTTTTTTCAACTTAAAATGACTCCTGCTGCAAATGGAAGATTGTATAAGAAATACAAATCAATCATCATTACAAAACTCTTCTTCAATCATCGTTACAAAACTCTTCTTCAATCATTGTTACAAAAAGTTCTCCCTTTTATTTATTTTTTTAAAATATATAATAATGCAATTATGGCAAGTTGATAACTCAGAATTGGTATAGCTAAAATGGCTGATGTTGCCTAGTCATTAGGGTAGGCAATATTGTAAAAATTTGAGCATTTCAGCACACTAATAAACCCTTCAGCATGTGACATACTGAAAAAAATTCAATTTCAGGAAAGTATGTTTGGATGAACAAAACACTTTCATTGTGCAAAAGTACATGAATACAAATAATAATCTGGCACTGAGGCTTTGTTTAATTGCTTTAGCAGTTTATCCTGTGTTAACCAATAACCTGTTTGCTGTAAGATGTATTTGTCAAGGAGTTTCAAATCTACAGCCATAGAGTTTTCATCCCTAAATACTGAAGAAAAAACATATTTAGAAATTCTGCCAAGTCCTAGGTTAACACTCCTCTCTCAGGGGATCAACACTTTCAATTATAACCTTTTTTTTAGCGCTAATGCACTTTAAAAAAACAAACAAAACATGGTTGGTCTTGCTCTCTTAGGCATTCATTATCTCTTTATTATCTAGTTTAGCACATTTAATTGCCCTTTTGCAAGCTCTGCTGGCATGATTTTATTTGTTATAGGATATAATGGACCCATTTGACTTAAATGTTTTTAATGCCCTTTTCTTAACCCCTTAATACCGGAGGGCGTACTATTACGCCCTATTTTAGGCGGCTCTAAACGCCGCCGGGCGTAATAGTACGCCCTCTGGTCTTTACTTACCCGGTCGCCGGCGGTCCCACGCCGGCGATCGCGGTTGGGGGGGACTCCCAGGGAGCCCCCCGCGGCAGATCTTCCTCCTGAAGCCCCCCCGGCCATGTGAGAGTGAGATCCTTGCGAGGACCTCACAATCACATGGCCGGGATAGCTGGCTGCAGCATTGCCAGAAGGGGGGCTGCCTGTAATGACAGGTGGTCCCCCTGCTGGCTGGAAATAAAATAAATAAAAGTTAATCAGTGTAAAAAAAATAATATATACTTAGATCATATATATATACTATATGTATATGATCTAAGTATATATATATACACATATACATACACACACGTACACTGTTTAGGTGTAGTTTACGATTAATATATATATAATTATATATATATATATATATATATATATATTTATCAAATTACACGTAGACTGTTACTGATTAAATATATATATATATATAATTATTGTTTTATATATATTTATATATAATATAAAAAAATTAAATATGTAAATACGTTAAAAAATAAAATTAAAAAATAATAAAAAAGTTAATTAAAAAATATATAGATGTGTGTTATTTCGTTCTAACTGTATTGTGATATTAATATATATATATATATATATATATTTATATCAAAATACACGTAGAACGAAATATATATATCTATATACATAAATATATACGTATATATCACTATATATATATACCTATATATAAATAAAAATATTTAAAAAAAATTATATATATATATATATATACATATATATTCACATACATATATATACATATATTAATTCTACATATATATTTATGTAATATTTTTACCTAATTGGGTATCTTAATTAATTACAATTAGCGGGACCTACCTGACAACCCATGCCGAAAGTAAAGGGAATTTAGTTTGCTAGCACTATATTTAACCCTATAACTTTCCAAGACACCATAAAACCTGTACATGGGGGGTACTGTTCTACTCGGGGGACTTCATTGAACACAAATATTAGTGTTTCAAAACAGTAAAATGTATTACAACGATGATATCGCCAGTAAAAGTGACTTTTTTTGCATTTTTCATGCACAAACAGCACTTACATGGACTATATTATTGCTGCAATACTTTTTACTGTTTTGAAACACAAATATTTGTGTTCAACGAAGTCTCCCGAGTACAACAGTACCCCTCATGTACAGGTTTTATGGTGTTTTCAAAAGTTACAGCATCAAATATAAGGCTTGTGTTTCATTTTTTTCACATTAAAATTCGCCAGATTGGTTACGTTGCCTTTGAGACCCTATGGTAGCCCAAGAATGAAAATTACCCCTATGATGGCATACCATTTGCAATAGTAGACAACCCAAGGTATTGCAAAGGGGTATGTCCAGTCTTTTTTAGTAGCCACTTAGTCACAAACACTGGCCAAAATTGGCGTTTTTTTTGCATTTTTCACACAAACAAATACTAACGCTAACTTTGGCCAGTGTTTGTGACCAAATGGCTACTAAAAAAGACTGGACATACCCCATTTGCAATACCTTGGGTTGTCTACCATTGCAAATGGTACACCATTATGGGTGTAAATTTCATTCCTGGGCTACTATAAAGTCCCAAAGGCAACGTAACCAATCTGGCAAATTTCAATTTCAAATGTAACGTGCAATATTTAACCCTGTAACTTCCCAAAATGCTATAAAACCTGTACATAGGGGGTACTGTTTTACACGTGAGACATCGCTGAATACAAATATGTGTATTTTATTGCAGTAAAAGCAAACAGTATTATGACCTTGACAGTTAAAATGTCATGTAGAACTAAAAAAATAAAAAAAATCTAATTTTCTCCCGTTTTTTTCATATTAAATTATGTTTCATAGCTAAATATTTGATATTAAATTAAAGCCCTGTTTCTCCTGAATAAAATGATATATAATAAGGGTAGGTGCATTTAATATGAAAGAGGTGAATTACGGTTGGACAGACATGTAGCGCAAATGCCAGGTTTTGTTTACATTTTGTTTCGTTCACAACGTGTACATTTGGCTCAGTCATAATGGGGTTAATGTTTATGTCTGACCCTTTTACTGAACCACATTGGTTTTAATTTGCTTCTTTTATATTTGTTTCTCAATTATATGTATTGTGAAATTTACTTTGTATACATTTGTTTAAATACCTTACATTTATCCACTATATTTTTGCCAGTAAATAATTTTGCCAGTCAATTTGTTCTAAAGATGCTCTTATCCATCACTTTTTACGAAGGCAACAGCCGAAACACATAAAGTGATTGGACTTTCTAATATATGGAACTTTTATATTTATTTCTGTTTTATTTTATTTCCTGTCGATTGGAATAATAAATCTTTTGTAACCCCCTACATTCTGCATCCTGAATGAACTTGGAGGTACTATACACAGAATACTTGGAAGTTCCCAGCAGAAGTCCTATATTCAATCTATTCAAGGCATGCAGTTTGAACCAGCTTTTTAAGTGGCTCTTTATATGTGAGTGAGACCAACACCTGCAAATTAATTATTCTGTTAACACTATCTTACCCTATGTCTCTCATTTTTGGTTTATCCTTTTAGATTGACAAACTACACTGTGGGTAAAAAAAAATATTTGACTGTTCTCACCATTATTTGATTTTATTGTACACTTGTTTTATTTGTGGTAGTGTGACCCACGAAGGTTATAGTAGCACCACTATTTATTTCTAGGAATTTTTCACATCTGTATTTGTACTGCTCTTATCCTCATTCAGTTCATATATTTATATATATGTGTGTGTGTGTATGAACTGAATATGGATAAGAGCATCTTTAGAACAAATTGACTGGCAAAATTATATATATTTACATTATTTGATCTTAAATTATACACATTATAGTCAATAATTTCTAAGTGCTATCTATATTGAATATCTGATAATTCAATCAATATCAGGATAATAAAATTATCCAATTATTTAGTAATTACGCAGGTGTGCAGCATTATTATTGTGAGATAGGAGTTGCTCTTCCCCATCAGTATTAATACTTGGGGGTTTGTAATAGTTCTCTTTAAAGTTTGCAGGTTACTTTAAGAGAGCGAATTTGTGCTTTTGAGAGATAAATCTTTGGGTATGGAACATGGTTGTCATTTTATGGTTTGTTTGCTAAATATCAGCTGTATTAATGTCTGTTAATTCAGATACCAAATGCATTTTATGTGTTCACCTATTATCAATTCAAACGTAAAGCACTAAAATGCATGCTTTTTAATTTGCCGAAAAAATCAACCTAAACATGATGATAAAGGTCACACCCTATGCATGTGCAATTCATATGCCAGTGCTTAAAAATAATAATAATATTAATAATAATAATAAAATTATTAGAGTAGGTCTCATTTGATACATTCATTACTTTCAAGTTAAAGTAAATGAAGCATAAATTGTCCAAATTAAATTTAATTATGTTGTTGTCATAAACTGATCTAAATATTATTAATGCTAATAATCAATAGACATTTTTGAACTACTCCCTAACAGTTGTTGTTTCTTACTCCATTCCCAGTCTTTGAGATGTTTGCTTTTGCAACTCAGTTGGTGGACAAATATAAGGCTTTTATAGATTGCTCATTATCAGGTGTTTCTGTCCAACTATTTGCATGAATTCAGCACTGATCAAAGCTACCCCTTAATGCTTTGATTTATTTTAAAAATGTAGACAATTGAAAGTCAGCTTGAATGATTGAAGACAAGCTGAGAGTCTGATTGCGGTAAGTAGGCAATTCCATAGGAAGGGAGCCGCCCGTGAGAAGTCATGCAAGCGTGAGTTGGCCACACGAGTGTGAGCAGCAGACAAGAGAAGATCATGGGTAGAGCAGAGAGACCGAGAAGGGGCATACCTATGGACCTGTGAAGAGATATAAGAGGGGATAGAATTGCTCAATGCTTTATAGGTATGGGTTAGTACTTTGAATTGACTCCTATAGAATACAGGAAGCCAATGTAAGGACTGACAGAGGGGTGAGTTGTGAGAGGACCGACTAGAGAGGAAAATCAGTCTGACAGCAGCATTCATTACAGACTGTAGCGGGACAATACAGATTTTGGTAAGACCAATAAGGAGAGGGTTACAATAATCCATGTGGGAAATTACTAGAGCTCCTTAGTAACATCTTGCGCAAGAAAGGGGCGGACGCGGGCAATGTTTTTAAGATGGAATCTAATGGATTTGGTAACATACTGGATGTGAGACCAGAATCAAGTATGACGCCAAGACAGCGAACTTGCAAGCATTGACTGATGTGGATACCACTAACTTGAAGGGAGAGCGAAAGAGGAGGATCAGCATAAACAGGATTATTCACTAAAATTAAAATTACCAAATTTAGTTCGCAATATATCTTCCAAGAACTATACACTGAAAGTTTCTGTTATGTCAATTGGTAGTCATGTGATCAGTGCTTTCAATCACATGATCGGACCGCAGATACCGAGTGAGGGGACAATTATGAGCAAGGGGATCCATGGGATTGAAGTGGAGCCATGCCTTCAAATCACTGATTGGATAATTAGCGATATAGTCTACCAATGGGAGACTTCTGGGGGATTTATATTGAGACTTAGCTCCTTTTCTATTGCACATGGTCACCAACCCTGTGGCACACAAGAAGCCCTCAGGAAAGTTATGGGAAGTCAACCAGGATCCAATGCGTAGGTAAAGAGGATCCAGCAAATGGTTCATGTTTTATCTGGTTATTTTGTATTACATGCTGATTTGGTTTTACTGAAGTTATGTATAATAAATTGATATAAAATGTTGATATTTGTGTCCTTCACTATTACGTCTGTTTTGTTATAGCACTGTGTCACTTTGATGTCCAAAATTAAGACATTTTATTACTCTTGTGAATGCAATCAACCCCGTATCTGAACTTAATTTGTAGTAACTTTATTAGCTACACATATTGTTCTGTTCCTTTAGGCAGCTGTATCTCCATTGTTTTAAAACTTATTTTCTAAAGGAAAGCAAAGTCTGCAAGGGGACAGAAGGAAGAGGTTCAGGCTCTGAGTGAGAGCAGCAGCAACACTATGGAGAGAAAGTGCCCAAATAATTTATTGTAGGAGCTGTGGACAGGAGAGAGAAAGAACAGGGTTATTCACTGGATTTTGTTTGGATTGGCAAATTTCATTCACAATGGCAATTCTCATGTTTACTAAAGTCAAATATAGCCAGAATACGATGGGGCTAAGTGAATTTGCAGCAGTTGCCTGAAAGCAATTGATTAAATGTTGTTTTACAATTAGTGATTTTGCACTAAAATCCTATAAAGAGTATACTATTCAAAAGATTCACAAAGCACCAATATTAATTAAAAATTCAGAACCAATAGTATCTGGCAGGATGAACAGTCACAAATTATCACCCTCTTGCTTTTTTAAGTGAATTGATATTTTGTAGTACTATTTGCAAATAGTTACAAACACTCTAGTTCATTTTGTGGTGACTGGCCAATGCTTGCTAAGCAGCCAACACATTAAAAAAGTTTTTTTTTTTTTTTTTTTTTTAAAACAATTATTTAGTCATTTCTAGAAAGGTCTCATGCCATGAGGATGGGGACTGTGAAATAAGAGGTCCCTCACTGTGACCCCGCTCATGGGTATCGAGTGGGGAACTTGAAATGTAATAATGAGCAGTGGACTTCCCTCCTGTCCTACATCCTGCCCCAACCCTTGGTGGGGCCTATTTAATCAAATAAAATGGAGACATCGCATTATAATATGTCCCTAACCAAAGCACCCCCCATGGGCCACAATAGGGTGGACCCTCCATGTGGTAGGGTCTCTAAATAATTAAAGAAAGGGGTCCCTCACCCCAGCCTCACCATTAGCGGTGGGAGGGGGCTCTAACTATAATTTAAGTTGGTAGGGTGAACATGCCTACCGATCTTCCTCTCTATGATAATATTGAAAGGGGCTTTAAAAGCAATACCTGTAAAATATTGATTATACTTAGCCTTTTTTCTTATAAATCTTATCTTCAGTTCTAAAAAACAAAAAAACAAACAAAACGGATTGCAAAAAAAGGAACAATTATAATCTACAATGCAAAAAAGTAAATCTTTGCCTTTCAAGGGCTCCACACCAATTGAAGCATCGAAGTGGAAAAAAAGCCATTATACAAGCTTTTCATGCATAACACACATCTGTGAGAGCTGTGTATTTTTTTTTTTAATAAGTAGTGAAGAAAAGTATTTAGTGTCATAAAAAATAAGGATTGGAGACTAACGTCCTTCACATATATGATACAGGATGCAAAGCAAATCTTAACAGTTCAGAATACCAGCTGGGTAGTAAAAAGGATTCATGTAGTTATGGACAAATAGGTTTTCTGTATAGTGCAGTATGTGTAAGACATCCAATTTTCAGGCCCACTGTTGAATAAAGAAAGACAGAGAACCATAGTTAATGAAAACTCAAATAAAAATAAATAAATAAATAAATAAATAAATATAGTATGTACATCAATATACACTCACACACCGGTTAACTCTAAAAACCATGACAGAAATAGAAAACAAGCAGCAACATGGTGTGGTGTACTTATGATCATATATGTGTGAAAACACAAAAATAATATAAATAATAAGCTTATATTCACTATTATGGGTCTTAAAAACAGATACGGGTATAGAATGATGCAGATATGAAGGGAATTTCTAGCTTTAATCACTTTAAAAAATACAAATGTAACATGGCATAAAATCACACAAAACAATTAAAAAACAGGATAATATTGCACTTACACACATAAAGTCACTAGATGTGGTTAAAAGGGCATGTAGATAGGTCAAATAGACCTCCAATAATGGCTATGCAGTACCCTCAGCAGAATAACCATTCCCTCCTTTCTATAATGGTTCTGGATCCCTTACAGTGGGTGAAGGCCCTTTAGATGTCCAAGCTGGAATAATTCAAACCTCCAAATTGCTCCACGCTCCGCCTGGTTTCATCCTTATGACTTTGTGATGGAAGAGCTTGTATGTAATGTCAATACTTCTGGCTTATATACCCAACCAATCAATCTCCCACCAAAAATATGTCAGCCGCAATTCATAGCCGCTACAGTAAAGTCGTGCATGCGCTGAACTTAGTCAATATTATTATGCTAAATCCAAGTAAGTCATTATCCTGGTGATTCCCACATCTGTCAAAAGTGATGACAAAGTGATCAAAGCTTGAAGAAGTTCACTTGATACCTGGATCATTGTATAACTGTATGTTTTTTTTGATACCTGGATCATTGTATACCTGTATGATCATTGTATACCTGTATTGTATACCTGTATGGTTTAAAGAATGCCAGTGTGTAGTGGCAGTGATTTTAAGAAAAGGGGATATGCATGGCACCTTAATGGTACTTAAAATTCATAATAAATACATTATGATATATTGCTCATATCTTCACATTACTTATCCAGTCACGGACATTTGAGCATAGTGAAATTACAGAAACACGTGTTAGCTTTGATTTTCAATGATTTTATTTAATGCAGAATTACATAATTATTCACTTATTTACGCAGTACATTAGAAATGATGGAGTCTTCTGAATGAGCCAATTCTGGGACTATTGGCACCCCAATCAGAGTATCTTCTATACTCTCCAGGTTTCAAGTAATACTGACGGCCCCTGTAGTTGGGCTCCTCATAGAACATCCAGTAGCCGTCAAGCACATGGCAGGAGTGGATGTCATTGTAACGGAATCTTTCATAGACATGAGGACAATCTTCAGTGAACTCCATCATCTGACCTCGGAAATCCTCCCTCTCGTAGACCTTTACTCTGAATGAACCTTGGTGCTTTGTGGGAAGAAAAATTACAATATAATTTATAAAAACAGCGTAATAAATTACAATAGTATTATTCAGTGCAATAAATGTATAGTAAGAACATACTATTTTAAAATATTACAGTAATGCTATTAAATACATTAATGCTATTAAAGTGTTTTTAAGACCCACATATTTTGGATGGAGCAAGCCTTGCTGGAAAAAGAAAAGGAAATGACTTCACTGCAATCCCACGCCAAGTACAAGTCCTACCTACAGCCTGATACTCCAATGGTGATGACACTTCCCTTTTATTGGGGGGCAGAGGGAGGGACATTGGAGGAAAGGGACATTGGAGTGAGAGAGACATCTAAGTCATCTAAGAGCGGTCCAATCAAATGCTTCTCTATAGGTGAGGGAGGCAGTGATGTCAGATGAGATGTGGAAACTAGTGCAGAAGTTTCAGTCAATGATGGATTCCAGGTAAATTTATATCTATTTTAAAGGATTACAAGGTGTGAACCAATTTGCTAATGCCCAATTGGGCATTGTAATTTAAAAATGTATATAATTTTCAAATGGGTTGAGTAAGCCCTTAATGAGATAGATAGGAAAATTTAGGTTTACGGTAATGGAAACTTGCAGTTACTGAAGGTTAGGCTTTGGAAAAACTTTCAAGCCCAGTATACCAGCCACGTGCAAGTTATATAATTGGCACTCAATTGTTTAAAGGACCACTCTAGGCACCCAGACCACTTCAGCTTAATGAAGTGGTCTGGTGCCAGGTCCCTCTAGGATTAACCCATTTTTTTATAAACATAGCAGTTTCATTTATGTTTATAAATGGGTTAATCCATCCTCCAAATCCTCTTGTGGCTGTCTCATTGACAGCCGCTAGAGGCGCTTGCGTGACTCTCACTTTGAAAATCACAGTGAGAACACGCAAGCGTCCATAGGAAATAATAATGCTTTCCTATGAGACCGGCTGAATGCGCGCGCAGCTCTTGCCGCGTGTGCGCATTCAGACGAATGGGAGGAGAGGAGGAGGAGAGGAGGAGGATCGGAGGCAGAGAGCTCCCCGCCCGGCGCTGGAATAAAGGTGAGTTTAACCCCTTTCCTCTCCCCAGAGCCGGGCGGGAGGGGGATCCTGAGGGTGGGGGCACCCTCAGGGCACTATAGTGCCAGGAAAACAAGTATGTTTTCCTGGCACTATAGTGGTCCTTTAAATGACGATTTCACTGAGACAGTTTTTAAATTTTATTTTTTATTATCCATTTCTACAATTAATAAGTGTTACATTATTTATTGATAACAACAATCAGGATCAGCCTTGGGTCTTTGGGTGCCCTGTGTGAAAAATCTTCAGGCCTCTGCATGGCCACTTCCCCTCATCCAATACCTCCCACTATTTAAAACCTCCTAAAGAAAACACATATTTTAGCCACCATTCTGTTTACATGCCTGTTGGGTGCAGGATGGTGACCTACCAGTAGTCCAGTGGGAGGGCTGCAGCCAGGGGTGAGCCTAGGTCAGTGTTAGAATCAGTTTTTTGGCATCCCTCTGTCGTGTGGCTAAATTAATACCTCTCCTTGTACACAACTTTTATATGCCCCACCCCATTTCCAATATCAACATTTTGAGAAATGTGGTCATTATTAACCATAATACTTTAAATGTTTGTGGACAAATTTCCATAATGCTATGTTGACCTTAGAGTTGGCTGAATGTCATGTGAATGTAGTCCACAAACTTGTATGTAGTCCATGAAAAATGTTTAAACCTGCCTCCTGCGTGTGACAGAGAAACCTGTGAATGTGAGCCTGTGGGTAATTTGTGTATGCGAGTGGTCGGTTGTATGTGACTGGTAGTGTCGGAGTAGCTGGGGTATGAGACTTAGTGTATTAGATATTGGATGTGTGAATGTGATGATGTGGAGTTAAAATTAAGTGAATGCATATTACAAGCAGGAAAAGGGTATTTGCCAGGGTGGGGTATATTACAGTATGGGGCACTGTGGTGGATAATTAATTAGTTAATTAGTTAGTTAATTAGTGTGTGCCATAGCACACAGTGGATTGCATGAGGTGACTGGAGGTGAGGTAGTGAGTATGAGGGTGATGGATCTTATATGGCAGGGTGTGGTAGTAGAGTGCTGCACTCAGGTACAGTGGTACATTGGAGCTCTGTGGATAAGGTCTGCTAGCCCTCAACATACATAAACCCAGTGTAGGGTTAATTAAGGCCTCACGTTGTATCCTTGTTTTGTCCTTTGGACCATAATAAATTAATTTTGATTCTTCACCCTACACTGTAAAGCCTGTGGCTTTCTATCTGTAGATGTCAGGAGATGATATATTGTGGTTGGTGTGGATCTTATATGGCAGGGTGGGTCTTTTATGGCAGGGTAGGTGTTATGTCAAGGTCAGGATATATAGAAGGGTGGATATTATGATAAAAGGAGGGTATGTAGCAGGGTGGGTAGTATGACAAGTTTGGGGTATATGGCGGGGTGAGTGCTATATGGCTTTGAAGAGAGAGAAAAGTCACAGTGCTGTATAATGTTATTAGCTGACCATGCAGGGGGACGGAGGCACATTAGGGGCTGTTTGTCACCATGGTGGCTGCTCTGTTTCAGCCAGACACCCAGCAGCTCCATTACCATGGTGAATGTCATCAGGATTGCTGTGCACTTCCTGGGCCATGCATCATAGCAGCTGCATGCTCATAAGCAAATTAAACAGTGTGAGCAGAAATTTTCTCTAAGGAGGGGGGGACTGAGCTGTTGAAGGAGCCAGCATCTGTTGGGACTGATTCTGATCCCCTGCATGTTCAAAGTAGTCGCACAAGAGAGCAATCTGGCAGAAGCACACTCTGCATGTCCTTCTGGGCATCGTCCCTGTTACATTTCCGGCGTTCATTATTGAGTCAGAGTGTAGGCTGGGAATCTCCTCGGCTGCACTCTGATTTACTAACAGAGCATTATTTTTGGACTGGAGCTGCAGGGAATTATTTTTATTTAATATGTTGCCTATTATGCAATATATTAAATAAAAATGTAATTGCATTTTTTCTTTGGTGCCCTGCACAGCTGCTGCACAGCTTGTAAACCTTAAAGGTTGGCCCTGACGACAATTTATTTTTGCAAAGCATTTTTAGAGAGAGAACAGCTTTCTATGAAAGAGATTTACCTGTGGGCTAATACGACAGGATTTGATGGAGTCATTGAAACCCATCCACTGCTGGAAATCAGGAAATTCTCCTTTGCTAAGGTAATATTGGTGTCCTCTGTAGTTGGGGTACTCATACAGGATCCAGTTACCACTTTCAACTCGGATTGAATTGCAGCGGTGGAAGAATGAGGTCAAATCTGGGCACTCAGAGCTGCACTCATAATGGCGGCCCTGAAAGTTACGATCCTCATAGAAGATTATCTATGGAGAAGGATACATGTTTGAATTTTTTTTTTAATGTCATTTGTATTTTCAAATTATATATTATCCTTATTTTCAGTGTTAATTATAATAAATAACAAAAGTGCATAGCACAAAATAAAGGTCTAAAATACACACAACTATATTTGCAATATTCTGATTTAACAAAGGACTGTCCATGGGAAACATGAAGAGAGAAACATTTCTTTGCCAAATTACTTCCGGATCCTGATTTCAGTTTAGTATTCACTGTCATCTACAAATACCATGCAGTCTATTTCTTCAGATGACATTTACCAAGCTAGCTGTTTACATTGATGGTGGTATAATTTACCTCTGGAACATGCATGGGTGGTATAAGAGGCAGGTTAAGCAATACAGCACTGACACTATTTGTATTCTAAATATGAAAGTTTAATAAAGTTCAAAATATGGGATTCGTTTTTTTTTTTCCATAACATATTATTATCATTTAGCAATTGCAAGTACATGTTAAGATTTTCAGATGATATTACCTTTCCCATGTTGAATAAGTTATCTGGCCAACAAAGTTGTGCTGTTGATCGGACTTGCAGGCTTTATATCGGATATCTCTTGCTGATGCTTACATACATTAAAATTAGTGCTGAACTGTTTTCTGTCCACCAGCCAATGGAATGTATAGTTATTGTTAAAATCTCTTTGTGTTTGACACAATTCTCTATCTATGTAAATGCTGTTCACATACTTGCTGGCACGTGCGTTTCATGGCTTCTTCTAGAGAAATCGACAATAGCCTGAAAAGGCCTGTTATTTTAGTATGTGAATAGAGCCACATTCCATATTATTATAAGGTCATGGGGTTTGAGAAAAAAAAAAAAAGTTTGCATAATAGCAAATTTTCCACAACAACTTTGGACTGATAAATGAAAATGTACTCACAAATCTTTCAGTGGTGAAATTGTGCTGTAGTTAATATCATAGAAGCATACATATATAATAAGAATTAATGTAAATTACATTCTAGACCCCAAAATTATAGCGTTGTAACACAAATTTTACAGTTTCATAATACCTTGTAAATGAAATGAAAATTTTACTTCACTTTACCTGTCAGCTCTGTTTACTGACAAAATGGAGCTCTGTTTGCTTTCTGTAGCCCTAGCGACCAATGCGTCATTCCAACAAGGTTAATGCGGTGTGACTTGTTCAGGTACCAAGGTTTTGTTCAGGTACTAAGACATTTTTACTCTCTAGTTTTATGTTCGACTATATATAGTGTAGATTGGATTAGCCAATCCAGTAGGCAAGATGCCAAAATACCAGAGTATTGCAGTATGCAATGATACCTTTTTTTATTGGAATAACATAATATTTCAAAGGCAAGCTTTCAAGAGTTTTCCTCTCTTCCTCAGGTCTGAAGCAATACTGATCAATCTGATAGATTTTAACACTTAAAACAACTGATGTTAGAGAAGGGGAGGTAGGGACGTGAGTGGGGTGTTATAACTAGCTTATTGACTCTCCTTTGTTTATTTACTTTTTTTAAATTAACTTTTTCTGGCTATTCTCAGCCAACCGGCACCTTTCACTTTCAGACATGTATTCAAGAGTCAATCATTCATAATCTTAATGTACCCCCCTCTAAAGACCTCCTTTAACCCCTTAAGGACACATGACATGTGTGACATGTCATGATTCCCTTTTATTCCAGAAGTTTGGTCCTTAAGGGGTTAAATGTCTCCACAGTCCCCTTATACCACCTGGCAGCAGAACCGTAAGACCAAGTTTCACCCACCTCACTCCCCATACCATCCCCCTGCAACCTCCCCCCCTACTCCTCTCTTACTCCTTCCCCCTCCCATACCCCATCCTGCTCCGTGGGTCCTGCCCCCCACTCGACCAGACACACATAATCAAACATGCTGACAACAATCTCCTGCATCTCTCTCAATTGCAAGGGCCTAAACAGCCCGACAAAGAGACACCAACTACTCTGTTGGGCGAACAGAACAGGGGCCAAAATAATTATCCTCCAAGAAACAGATAACGAAAAAAACAGACCCTTCCCCCTAAAGAACAGAAACTACACAGAATGCCACTTAGCTAACTTCCGGAAAGGTAAACACAATTGAATGGCCATCCTGATCCATAAATCATGTTTAAATACGTTTTCCGACCCTCATGTTAGATTCCCGACCATAGCAGACCATCACTGTAACCACAAATATGCAATCACATCTTTATACGCCCCCAACGCCCCCGACCCACCCTTCTGGTCAGCCATGTGGGCCCACCTAAAACTTTTTACCTCCCACCACATAATAGTCAGCAGGGATTTCAATGCGGTCATGGCCCCTCAAATAGATTGGAAACGCTCCATGACTAACAAAACTACCCCCGCACCAAGTTCAACAAGGCACTTTTAAACTTTACACATCAATCTGGCCTACAGGATATCTGGAGATTACAACATCCCACAGTCCCAGACTTCACCTTTTACTCAAACCCACACTCCTCATACTCCAGCATCGACATGTTCCTGATCTCCCCCTCCTTACTGCCCTAGACCACAAATTCCTCAATTTGAACAATCGCATGCTCCGACCATGCAGACATATCCCTCACAATCGAGATCCCTTGATGGCGAGATCATGGTCCTGGCGACTAAACCCCACCTTACTTCCTAACCCCAACATCGGACAGGCCATACAACATGAACTCAGGGACTATTTCACTGTAAATAAAGACTCTGTACCCTCGATGAGCACACTATGGGTGGCACACAGGACCGTAATAATAGGTAAACTGATCGAACTGGTCACCAGACACAAAAGACAAAAACTTCAAGAACTAGAAGACCACGTACTCTCGTTACGGACCATAACGCCCCTATGCTCGCCCAAATTAAAACCCACCAACAGGCCATCAAAACATTCATGACCAAAGACTCCCAAAAAGCACTCCAGTGGACTAGACAACTCTTCTATGAAAAGGACAATAAAGCGGACTCTCTCCTTGCCTGCAAACTCCACCATAAAACCTAGGCCAAACACATAGACAAAATCAACTTACAACATTACAAACACTCCCGAACATATAACCTCCATCTTCTCCAACTACTTCACAGCGCTATACGACCACAACCCTGACACCCACAATAACCAACCCAGCTTCCAAAGAGCCATAGAATCCTATCTTAAAGAAATTCCCCTCCCAGCACTAACGGACATTGCGATAGCGAAACTCTTCGCTCCCATCACGACAGAAGAAATAGTTCACACACTAAAAACAATCAAACCAAATAAATGCCAAGGACCAGACGGCTTCACAGGCCTCTACTATAAGACATTCTCTAACGTTCTGATGCCCCACCTCACTACACTCTACAACTCGCTCTTACAGGGAGACACACTACCAGAGGACATGCTTAGGACAACTATTTGCCTCATCCCGAAACCGAACAAATCATACTTGGACCTGGGACACTATTGACCCATATCCCTCCTCAACATAGACACCAACATTTTTACAAAACTCCTGGCCAATTGCATACAGCCCTTTCTTCCGAAACTGGTTCACCCAGACCAAGTAGGTTTCATACCCTCCAGACAGGCATGTGATAATACTAGACGCACACTAGACCTGGTCTGGGTGGCCCAACATAGACAGATTCCAACCCTACTGCTTTTGATGTACGCCGAAAAAGCATTTGACCGCTTGCTATGGCCTTTTCTCTTCACCACCCTGCAGAAATACAGATTCTCCATGCCCATCATCATGGCCCTAAAAACCCTCTATAACCAACCTACAGCCACACTCCTCATACCCAACACAAAACCAACGGAACGAGACAGGGTTGCCCATTGTCCCCACTCCTATTCGCCCTTTCCCTAGAACCCCTGCTCCAAAGCATATGCAACTCCCCGTCAATCCTCGGCCTGAGAATCAGGTAAGACGAATACAAAATGGCGGCTTATGCTGATGTTATTCTCTTGACCATCACCGACCCTGTCCACTCCCTTCTGCCTCTACTTACACTTCTAAGGGAATATGCTGACCTCTCTGGGTACAAATAAGACCTAGATAAGACCGAAGCTCTCCTACTAGGAATACCGCGACCTACACTTGACAGCCTCAAAATCTCACACCCATTTAAATATAACACGGGCAGCATCCACTACCTGGGCATACACCTCCCCACGGATCTCTCTACAACATACATCCTAAACTACTCTTCTCTACTCTAACAGGAGCACATAGATCTGCAGAACTGGATTCCCATGTTGGCAGAATAGCCTCTATCAAAATTAACATTCTCCCCAGGTTCCTCTACCTTTTTCAGGCCCTACCCATCCCATATCTAAAATGGACTTCAAAATACTCCAAACAAAAATAGACAACTTTATATGGTCCAGACTTTGGATCAAGAGGTCCACAATGTACAAAACCACAAAAAACTGAGGTCTAGGACTCACAAACGTCTATAATTACTTTCAAGCCGCCCAACTAGCACAAATACAGCACCTACATGCACAACCGGGACTAAAGTTATAGGTGGACCTCGAAACACAACCTCCTGGGCAGGGACCATCCCTCACTACTCTTCTGGCTCCCCAAAAGGGACAGGCCTCAAACCCCACAAACGACCCCAGCCCTTAACACCTCTTTCCTGACATGGGATAAGACCACCCCCAACTACCCCTTAATGAACACGCCATCACTGCTCACTCCAATCCTGTGAAATAAACAATTTCCCCCAGGCTTGACACCCCAAGACTTCACATACTATGAAGACAACAAGCTCCTAAGATTCTTTCACTTCTTCCGTGACCACCAACTATTACCATTCCCGGACCTATCCAGGAACACACCATTAAATACCTTTGACCATTTCCGATATCTACAAATCCACAGCTTCTTAAATGAACCCCAACACACCGCCACATCTACCTCCAAACTAACACACTTCGAACACACGTACACACCCCAGTCCACAAAGGGCAAATCTCTTCTATCTACCTCCAAATGAACTCGTCCTCCCGCGGATGCACTCTCAAAAGCATGGGGAAGAGACATTGGTCCACCGGACGACCCCTCATACTGGACTGACATCTGGGAAGCCACAGCCTCACTCACAATTTGCGTAAGCCATAAGGAGCAAGCCTATAAAATACTACTCCAGTGGTACCTGACACCCCTAAGACTGAAACAGATGGGTCGCCCAGACTCAGATGCATCCTGGAAAGGGTGCGGAGCCCAGGGTACATACATGCACCTATGGTGGGAGTGCCCCCACATCTCCCAACTATGGACTGCTGTTTCCAGCTGCACCTCCAGACTCCTACATACTGACGTCCCCATGGGCCGTGGATCTGGCTGGTCTCCAGACCATACACCCCCCTAATTATAGCACAAAACAAATTGGCTGCAACAATAGCACTGGCCACCAGAAGAACGATCGTGGAACAATGGGGGCAACCAAACTACACAGATATTTGCCTCATCCCGAAACCGAAACCATGCTCCGCAAAATTGCAGAAACTATGGAAATGGACAAACTATCGGCCCTACTACACGACAAAACACAT